GTGTCACTGCGAGTTGAAGTCTGTCTTTGACAAAGCATGACCCACATTACCAGAGTAAACATTGCAGTTGAATGCGCCTAGTCAAGACGTGCTACTTTGTTAGTATAATGCGAAAAAATAGTCGGCAGATGCTATAGTTATTACATTACAATAACAGAAGCCTTTGTGCAGAGGTAATTATCACGGAAACTTAATTCTAATTGCATGCAATTCTACACTTCGGAGGCAGTATTTGTGAAGACAGTGCGTTAATTAGGAAAATCTTGTCTTTAGATAACTTGAACCTTAAAACCACGAGAAGTCGGGTTAAAAGTCTTAACCGATTAGAAGGTACATAAAAAGAATTACAAATAAACGAAAAGTTGCTCTAGAAATATTTAATTCGGAATCGCGGACTAAAGACTTGATCAGTAATCCTCTGCGTTTGACGCTACTTAGATCTGAAGGCGGAGCCGAGCCAGTATTATCACTGAATAAAAATTCTGCATATTTCATTGAATGGTGAAGGAAATAGCATCACAAATTCATTTGGTACGGTTTTGCGGTCAAGTAGCACCGAGAAGAAGGTGGGACAACACCCCTCTGCTGATTCACCACGATTGCTAGAATCGGCTACGAGTGAGGGGTGGAGTGATTAATTGAATGAGCCGTGGCCATTTAACTGCACCATCGCTGCCTCAAAGAAGTGAAAGTCGGTGCACAAATTTGAAGTAATTTTTTCTTTTCTGATTTAAAGACCAGAAATTGACGTTTATGGCTCGGTTCATGTGATAGGACCTTGACGATGGCATTTTGCCAATTTCGTTAATTGTTTGAAGTCTTGCCACTTTCGATGTTTTCTTCTGACTACTAGAAATTACCGAGATCAAAAAATCACGAATTGATGTAAATTATGTTAGCTTTGAGTACATATACACGCACATGCCAATGCTACTGAGGCCTTGGTGCCAAATCCAAAGACAAGCGGCAATACCCACCTCTCAGCCAATCGTGTCATTGAGCGCCTTACATCGGACAAAACTCCTCCTCCTCCCTCTGATTGGCTTGTAGGGTTGCGCGCCAAAGTCATGCTCATTAGTGTCACCTGCAACAGGAAAGGGTGCGGTATAGTGACCTGTCATGCTAGCCACCACCTTGTACAACAAACCACATTTTGGGAATGTAACTGCCCTGCAAAAGCTTACAAGGAAAGAAATTGTATTCAGCAACACAAAGGACCAACAATTTGTAGAGCAGTCTTTTCTCCAACATGGATTTCGGCATGATACGGAAAACAGTTTTGATCTGTTGCAGGGACCTTCAATAGGAAACGTATCTCACTCACTAATAGATGTGTACAAAATATAGCGCACCTACAAAATCATTGAGGCAACCGTCCTGCCTTTCCACTGTTGAACTTTATGGTAACAAGCTTGTGAGTTAAATGTTGAATCGCCCGCATAGCTTACTACCCCATATCGCAAAGAAGACGTTTTGTACACTGAGAAACACTCCTACAAATGCACTACGATCTGTGAGTGCAAAGCATTTCTAGCCTAAGGATGGCATTCCAACTACGTCTCTTTCTGTTGGGGACTTCGGTTCGGCTAAGTGATGCGGATGAATGGGCAGTAAGTTGCCTCTTAATACTTGACTCTGATGGGTTAACATGAGCAAATGCTTTACAGTTTGTAGCATTTATTGAATTATAAATTTTGTTCACTCTCTCATGCACCGCTCCAGACCAGGTTAACAGTTGTCACATTCCACTCCACTTGGCTTACTAAACAGAAATGCGTCTCCACAGTGGTCAGTCTGCTCACTATTCTGAAAATCTAGCTTGTAGTTACGACTTAGTAGCAATTTGCTGTATATGAGGACAAAGAGAATGGGCAGATGTTCGCCTAAATTCATGAGTCGATAAGGATATGCAGCAATTTAATCAGGCCTATCGTAGTGAAACTGAAGCACTGAAGCGACCAAGTCACGTCGACTAATAGTTGTAGCTTATCTATTTTATCTCACCCATACGGCAAAGTACGATATTAACCAGTAAATTCGATTTTGGGTAAGGTGTTGGAGTAGATGTTAAGCGATTTTAATGACAAATTTAAGGGTGCAGTGATGCCAAATGTCAACCCGGAAGATGCAACGAATTTGATCAACTTGCCAAAAGTCCAGGGCAGGCATTATGCTACAGCATCTTCACTTCTCTTCAGGATACTGAGTAAACTATGACCACAACACATGGGCGCAAACTTGCGCTTTTCATCCCCGAGTGATGAGGGACACATCGGAGTAGAATTTGCATTGGTCACATTTGAGAATGAGGTATCTTTGATTGTACTGCATATCGATGGAGTACCGAGCGTAGTGGCAGACCCATTTTAAGGGAAACGTTGCTAGGATTGAAATACGCGGTGTGCGCTCTTCCACAAGTATTTTGCCCAAATGACTTATGACGAAAAGTTTGCAAAGCTTCTAAATTGCTGCAATTGATAAAAATGCAAGCTTGTCTCTTTGGTGTGAATCCATAATCCTGGATATACTTTTAACAGGGAAGTAGCGACAGCGATTTTAACAACACTTCCTTTTTCTCCTTTTAACAAATGTGCATTTGAACAGATGGAATATGTGCTTGTGGGGCGTTAAAATATGAGGGTGAAAATGATGCGGTGATTTGAGTTATGCCGAACACAATGGGTGAACATGCTGTCAAAAGTAACAAAAGAGTTCAAAGTAAATGAGAGGTAGAGTACGGAGATATATGTTGTGTTGATTGGTGAGTGATGCACCTCACCATTCAGTCATTTTACCTTTCATTTACGGATATTGCATTTCTAATATATGCAAACTTTCACCTGAATTGGAGTCACTACCTTCGGTCAGTTGGCAAACGTCTTGGAATCCGTCCATAAATACAGTGACGACACTTTAATTATACTACTGCAGATTTTATTTCAAATGCGTGATTGACAACGCGATTCTTGCCCCTCTTCGGTGGACACACCAGGAACACAACTCCCTTCACCCCGCCTATGCTACTACTCCCCTCGCGCTTCCACATATTGGCAAAGCTACCTCCCGACCGAGCTATGAGTTAGTGCAGACTCCCGGACAATGCCTAATGAAGAAGTGCTGACACCGTTCGGGTGATGGCACCATTGTCATTTACCAATGCCAACACCACCACCAGCACCACCATCACCTTGGCTGCAATTACACTTGCAGCTGCAATTTAGGTGGATTGAATTTCCACAATCCGAGCAACGAAGATTAAAGCAAGTGAGCTCAAGAGAACAAGCCTTTGTTATGGTTGCGCTCCACGACCTTATCACAAGTCCGATTGCCAGGTTATTCTCGACACACCCTAATGTCAGGTTGTCTTCAAAGTAACACGCTAGTATATCGTGATAATTCAAAAGGGAATGCAATAATCCTCTCCGTGATGGAATTATTGCACTCATAAGCACACACGGCAAGGTATATTGCTCACCCTGAAGATGGAACGATGTCTTCCTAATATCATGGAACTCAACAAATCTACGCCTTAAACGTGAGACAGTTACACATGATTCTCGTTCTTCACAAATGTGGGCCACTATCCCGATTGCAT